ATCCCATTTTGTGCTGAATGCAAAAGGAGTGGGGCAAGAGGAGGCTAACTGGTACAGTTTTACGTTAAATAAAAAGGGCTTTTTACAATTTACAAGGAAAAAAAAGACGTTTTTACAGTTTACATTGAAAATTGAATTTTGCAGTGAATTGCGTCATCTAGTCGTTTTTTTCGAAAAATGTATTTTTCCCTTGATTATTCTTTACAATTTTTTTTATTTGGATGATAAATTCTTGTACGTACCGAGAAAAATGACACATTTTTACAGTGTACGAAAAAAATATTTGATTGATTACATTGTACATCTAGCCTGTGATTACAGTATTACGGAATTTATTTTTTCAATTTACATTGTACGAACAAAAAAATATTGCAATTACGTTGAACAAAAATAACCTTTGACGCCCCCCCCCCCCCTCCAAAAGTCATGACACTTTGGGATAAAATGTTTAGGGGTCTGACTTTGAATATCTTCTGATGTGGGTGTTTCATATCACATTTTCTATCATGCAATTTACCCAGAACTTTATGAGAAGAATTTTTGCAGAATTCAGCCCTCCTATACATATACCTTGCCAGTTCTATGTAAATCTATTTTTGTAAAATCACAATGATGGCCGAACCACTTGACTAATCACAACTAGTTTATTTTTCTCATAAAAAAACCTGGATACAACATTTCAGTCAAAAAATTAATTTTTAAAAAATCCATGAATTTTGGATCATTATGCAGGAAATTAAATATGGTGACCAAATCGTGTAGTTTATTTTTCTCAAAATAAGAAGCTTTGACCTTACTTGCAACATGTCAAGTTGATCGCTTTAGGTGCTCTCGAGAGTTATTGCTAAATATTTTTGAAGGATTCCAAAGATAATGACTAAATCATGTGACTAATTCAACTTATTTATTTTTTTGAATTATTATGCTTTAGTCATACATTCTACATGCAAAATATCTAGTTGGTCAGTCAAAGAAAACATTCGTGATAAACAAATGCCCTCAATCCAAGATGGCGGATAAACCAAATGACATGGCCATATATATATATACCCGGTATATGCCACAAGCAATTTATCTAGTTAATCAAAAAAAAGCGTTCAAAACAAAAAATGTCCAAAAAAATCAACTTGGCAAATTTCAAATCAGAAAGGCAAATGTATCATCACTATAAAAATATATTTATTGTTTAGAAAAATATCCAAGATGGCGCCAAACTACTGCATTAATCATAAGCAATTTCTTAAACATCAATACATTTTATACATACCAGTAGATACTGAAGTTGAAATTTCAGATCAAAATGTTCAGTAGTTCTAAAGAAGTACCTTTTAAGTGTTTTAGCTGTATTTTTGAGGGGGAGGGGTGGCCAAGATCACTTGGCTGGTTATTTTATTGTGAATTGTTTAGTCAAAAAAAAAAGTTTAGTAAAAATATTAAAAATTTGTCACTTCTGGTATTAGCTCAAACCAAGATGACAGCTTATAAAGTTTTGACCAATCAGAATGCTGTCTGCAGCCACGTGATAACTACCAGTAAGTTTCAAAACTGTAGCTTGAACTCTACCCACAACGCACCATAACTCAGCTAGTGTGAATCACAATTGGTTGAGTGAGAAGCATTAAGAATTTCAAACAAAATTTCTGCAAACCAAGAGCTTGATAGACATTTTGAAAATTACACTAGCTATTTTCATAAACAAAGAGATATCGAAGTAAGAAAAAAAAAGAAAAATTAATATAATAATAATAGTGGTATTTATTTGAACTTCTATGAACCAGAAAGAGATCATTCATTTTTTAGCCAATACTGTAAAATGACTAAATTTCACTGGGTTTTAATTTTGCTGATTAATCATTTCAGGCATATTCAGTGGTTTTTAAATTCACGGTTTTATCATTTAGATAATGTGTTCTATGCTAAATTTCACGTATTCACTGGGTTTTAATTTAGCCCATTTTCAAGTTAGCGAAATAAGCAAAATTAAAACCCAATGAATAATTAATCCTTTTACAGTACTGAGTCTTTGTGCTAGTATCAGATGAAGAAACCCATGTTGAAATGTTTTCCTTAAATATGTTGCTGTACTATTATTTTTAGTAACTTTTATACAATTTATGTCATTTTATTATATTCTATAAGGAATATTGAGATTAATGCAGTACTAATAGTATTATTGATTAGAAATGTATGATTTTCTGTTCAACTGCGAAATGTCCCATTTGCGTGAAAAACGTGCACCGAACATCTGCTGCAAAAATCAAACGATTTGATTTTGGACTTGAATTTCTTTATTTCATAGCTCACATTGAAAGGCTGGTCTTTGACAGGGTAATATTGCATTTAGATACCCTTACTTCATCAAAATTGACCATCATCAAATGTGTACAGTGCATTATTATATCCCCCCAGAATACTCTCGCGTTTGTCGAATCCCGGAATTTTTTACATTTGATTTCACACATAATGTATCCTACATCGCAGGAAACGGAAAATGGTCAAATATGTCTTCATTGCACTTGTTCATTCACAATTGTTCCCACCTAAATATTAGCTAGTATTTATCATGTAAATTGTTAGGTATATTACCATAATGTTTGAGGACATTTATACTCCCTTTGCCATGCAAAGAAAATATTATGTATTAATTGTTAATTTGCATTCATCCATCCATTTGTTATTTAATCTAGATTCTCATTAGGCAAGGTTTTGAAAGTCACACTGTGTTTGATGTTGTATTCATGTTGGGATATTGGTTATTTTTGTTTGTTTATTTGCTTGTAAATATGTCATACCGGTATTAAAATATTGTTAAAGATATTGTACAATTTTGCAGCATACATGCAGTAAGTTTATTTGTCTTTCTTTTGGGGGGGGAGGGTAATTGATTGTAAAGTTACAAATGGATTTATATAAAATTATCAAGAGATTGCCCTTGACACATCAAAGTCCATTAAATTTTGGTGGAGATGTGATTACTGGTTGCCATGGAAACAACTATTTTGGAAATCATGGGTGTGGTTGCCATGACAACAACAATTTTAGGAAAGTTTTTTTTGTTTTGTTTTTAATTTACAACCAAAACTATCAGCTAGTATTTTTATGCAAAATGT